GTTGCTTTCACAGCTGGGGGGTTCTTTTGGCTTTTATGGCCCTTGCTTCTCAATGGACAATACCTTTCAGCTTGTGCTTAAATTTCTGGAGTCTCTGGGGCTTCTGCTTGCAGCCAGGTTACCTTTCTGCTGGTGTGGCCTGGCTTTCATGGCATTCCTTTGCTTGAATGTGTGGAGACTTAGGAGGCTTGCTGATTCTCCTGTTAGGTATATCCGTATTCAGTTTGTCTTTGAAGAAATGGAAGTGCAAAGAATTAAAGGCTGAACGATGCCTAAGTGAACATCCAGCCAAGTCATGGGTCTCTGAAAGTTAATAGTGGTTTAAGATGGACCTTCTCAGGCAGAATAAAGTGGGTATAGGGAAAAGTAAAGGAAAGAATGAGGATCCCTGCAGGAAGGGATATTGGGAGCTGCTGGAAGGGGCTGTACCTCCACCTTCTGTTGAGAATACACTTACTGAGTAGTTGTCAATACAGCTTTCTGGTGAGCAGTGCTAGTTGGAAAATTACAAGCACCCATGATTGCTATTGTCTGTCGTTGTGCATCATCTTTTAAAGCCAGGGTTGATCTTTAATCATCAAGATTGACTGAAGGGTCAAGGGGATGTAGGATATACTGCTCTTGAGCTGGGAGGTTACAGTGAAGGCTGTCTATACCCTACATGGAGCAGTGCTGCCCTCCCATCCATCTTTGAAGCGTCCTTGACTGCCTGAAGGAGAAGCATCTGCAAGTGAAGGCCTTGGCTGGGGCAATGTAACTTCTCAGTGGCCTTCACCCAGCCAGGCAGCAGCTGTATTGCCAGAGGTGGCTGCTGTCAAGAAGGCCTGTTGTGGATTTGTGTTGGTTCCTTGTTGCAGTGTGAGCCCACCTCTGGCTGCATCACTGTCCTCTTACTTCCAGTGGGGAAAGTTTGCCCCTTGCTTCTTCACTGTGGTCATTCTCAGAAGGCTGCTGAACATGTAGAGAAAGGTCAGAGTGGGCAAATGGTCCTCTTGTTTGAGAGATGTAGAAACTGAGGCACGTTTACAGGTCTCCCCTAAGCCTCCAGCCTCCATGAGGCAGTATCTAAGACCTGGGTCAAACACTTGAGTCTCAAACACTGGTTTGACAAAATGCTCCAGTATTGGAGCAAATGGGTGGTAATTTGCTTGCCTGATGACACCTGTTACCCTTTCTGCATGTGCTGCAGCTTACTCATGGATAGGGGCTGGGTGGTTTCTGACCTGTGTGTGAATCCCGTTTCTTTACTCTCCTTCTCTGCTGCAGGACAGGCTGCGCCTCCTGATGCTTCCTGCTCCTTATGATTCTTCTCCTTCATAGAGAAACTTCTTCCTCCCTGTATTTATCAAATGGATCAAATCTTACTTATTATTTTAATCTGCTTTCAAGGAGGCAGCATGCTAATACTGTCATTTTAAACCTCCCATCCAGGGTCTCTTGGGAGCCGCGAGGTGTAGAGAAGAGCTCCTCTGGTCAGAGCTGTTTGCACAGTGTTTTCAGCCCAAAGGAACTGATGCAAGTCTGCCTTGTTCCTATGTGTTTGCTGAACCAGCCCATGGAAAGACTGAAACTGAACAGTGGTCAGAAGGGCTGGGTCTGGTATCTCAGCCATCTGAGTGTGCTTCTGCCTGTGGAGGGCTGCAGTGGCACCGAGGAACTTCTTGTTAGATCTGCGCAGTGCTGACTGCGATCTGGGTACTGCTTGTGCACACATCAGGTGGAGTCAATGGCACCTTGTAGGTGTTTGTCCAACAAACCTCCAATTCGGGTGAGACTCGCTAGGCTGGGGGGAGAGGCGAGGGGCAAATTGTCCTCTGTGTGGTGCGGAAGAGCAGGGACAATGTATTTCAAGCTAGAAAACCACTTCCTTCCCAGCATGTGCTAACACATCACTAGACGTGTAGGCACAGCCACTGCTCTGGCAGCAGAGGTTGACCTCCTGGTGAGCAACATGGGGGACAGGGCTTGTGCACCCATGGGCATGCTGCTTGAAAACTAGCTTCTGCCAAACTGTGAAGCAGAGCTAAAGGCTCATTTCAGCTGTCTGTCCCGCCCATAACACGTGTGCTGGTCTCCAAACCAACGTTTTGAGTGTCTTTTTCAAAACAAGGGTATTTTTGTGTAGTTGGAGTTTGTTTCTTGTGGGATGGAGGGGTGCTTACTTGAAAAGCTGTCTGGTTTTGTGTCCTGGGCTAAATGAGCACTGGTGTAGTCTGGAAAGGCTGTATTTACCTCTAGCCTTACTGTTAGATGGAGCAGGGGAGAGGAGGAAGAAGGAGATCTTACTTCTGTCCTTTCTCCCCTGTTTCAAAGACCATAAAACAGGCTATCCAAACTCAGCGTGACTTTTTCCTACCTCAGCAGGGTTGTTTCTGCTTCTGCCAGAAGGCAGTTGTCCCCTTCTCTGCTTCTCATCTCCCTGCAGGACTGGACACGATGCTCTTGGACCTGACTTCCCTCTGTATTGGCCCCTCTCCCATTGGGTAGCATTGACCTGTCACTTGCTGTGCTCTGAGTTCCCGGCAAGGAGAGAGGTCAGTGCCAGGCAAACACACAAATGTCCTTGCTGTGAAAACCGCTGCACATATATCTCGTGTATCTCTCAATTCAAGGTTAGCTGGAGAGATAAGATGCTTTGTGGTTTGTTTGGATGTGCTGTGGCCCTTTTCCTTGCATCTCTCATGGCAAGCCTTGCTTTCCTTCTATGGAACTGACTGGGACTGCCTACTGCATCTCTGTAGTGCCTGAAAAGCAAAGGCAGGACTAGGCAGTGTCTCGGCTGCAGAGGGTGAGTTTTAAATGCAGAGGTGAGCTGCAGCCCAAGAATTTGGGTTTGAAGGGTGAAGTACTTGGGGCAACGTGCAGGAGAGAGAAATGACCTGAAAAAGCTTAGCTGAGAGTGAGGGGCCACAAAGCAGGGACACTGGTCAGAGCTGTGTTCAGCTAAAACAAACTGCTTGCCTCCCTGCCAGCTCTCCTCTGTGATAATGGCAAGGGTAGGAAGGGAAAGCTTCAAAGGGTATCCTACAAGTGACTGAAATTGGGAATTTTTACATGAACTGCAGTCAAAGGGTGGAATTGGAGAAGGGCATGAACGGGGCAGTCTCATGTGCACCCATGCCTGTTGCGTAGCATCCCTGACTCAGCATTGCACCCCTGCCCTGCTGCTCCCAGGAGTGTACCCTGGGTGCCTCTCAGCAGACAGCAGCTCTCACTGGCTTTGGACTCGAGGGTAGCACTCACTCTGGATTAAAATCCTACTGATACTCGGTGGTTTGGCCTCTGCTCACAGAGCTCTTGACCTGAACAAAACCTGAGGGGCAAATCCTGCAGCAGAAAAACGCGTTTGTGGGATGAGCAGGGGCAGGCATGAGGATGCCGCAAGGCTGTGGCTGCTGGTTGCCCAGCCTATTGCATATTGAGCTGGGAAGTGTCTCCTTGCTCCTTTTGTTGAATACAGGTGACTTTGGTCAGTGATGCACTGCAGACGCGATTCCAAGTTATCTCGGATCATGTCCCTCCGTAACAGAGGGGCTGCATGTTCCTTTTGCATGTGTCCTCTCATGGGAGCAGTAATGCCCAGCCTGCACTTGGAAAATGGGAGTCAAACGGAATACTCATCTGTGCTGCTTTATCGGGTGTAAAGTGAACAGAGGGAAGCAGGCGGGTGAATTTAGCAACCGGATTTCCACCTAAGAGTTTTCTTTTTCCTTTTTTAATCCTTTATGCATTGCCTATGAGTTTCTCTCCATTGAAGCTATCTCAGTTATGTGTTGGAATGCTTGGACGCTTGCCTTTCAAACTTTATTGGACTGAAGAATAGGATTCTCTTCCCTGCTTATGGAAAACACTTGCACTCCTTAATGCCTTTGATGCTTTTCTCAGAAAGCTTTGGCATCCCTTTCCAACCTGAAAGCTTTGGGTGGAAAACTTATATTTTGGGGTGAAAAGCCAAAATTTTCCTGTTATTTTAAACAATATGAATCCCCTCTGTGTGTGTGTGTGTGTAGGGGAACATTTTCCAGCCAGTTCTCATTCTTGTGCTGTAGTTTCTCTCCCCTTTATGGATTGATTTTGAGAGTCGAGTTTCAAACCTTTTTCCTTACACCAGCTACTAATATGTTATTGCATTAACTTGGTTAAAGCAAATGTCCTAGTGAATGGTGAGCTGTTACATTGGTATTAGGGTATTTGGGCTCCTGAGATGAGAGCTGTTTTCAGACTCTACAAAACCCAGGAACTGAAACTCTCTGCTGTTGTGTTTTGGTCCTCGGGGCAACCTGATTTACTGTGGCGAGGAGGGTAGACTAAGCTAGTGACAGTGTTTCTGGGAATAAACTGAAGAGTGTTGTGCAGAAGTCTCACTAGCATGGAGCACGAGTGTGAAATGAGATTTATCTGTGCCTTTATGGCACTTTTCAGCAGAGAATTCAGCAAATGAGCAAAGCGTGGCTGCTTCTCAGCACCATCCTGCAAAGGAAGTGAATATTCCTGTTTTAGAGCTGGGAGCCTGTAGTGTTGGGGAAGGCAACAATGTGGATGAACAGCACCTATGTCATGAGCAGAATCTGTAAGTCTCACTCTCACCCTGTTGCTGTAGTACTGGCATCTCCCTCTGTTCCTGAGGCAGCAGCCATCATTGCTCCTGCCTGTCTGCTCTTCCAGCCCTCTGCTTTCAGCCCCTTGTACGATTAGACATTGCACTGACCACTGCTCCTGATGTTGGATTTAGGTCTAGTCCCTAAAAGGGAAGCCTGTAAAACCAAGCAAGGAGAGCGTTGCATGGGGACTGGTCTGTGGGGATGAGGCTCGTGTTGCCATGCTTCACCCAGTTCCCATGCCCTGATGGGCTGGACTGCTGCAAGATCCAAACACGGTCCTGATGTCCATCCTGCCCTCCTCCTTCCCCTCTCTCCTCCCTCCCTCCACCCCCAAGGAGGCTGTCCTAGTTGGTCCCCCCCCCATTCCTTTCTCTCTGCTCCCTTCCCAGTGTACTTATAACTCTCAATCTAGCTGGCCTTGTAACAAACGACAGCCTAGGAGGCACGGAACAGGACCCCCAGCAGCATGATAGCTCCAGGTATCTCAGCACTCATGCGCCCCTTGCTAAGTGGACTGAATGTGAGCAAGATCCGCTTTATTCATCTCTGTGGGGTGACTGAGCAGCATCGCACACCGCCTAAGCAGGGCTCGGAAAGAGGCTTCAGCTCCATGCAGAAGCTCCAGGATGCCCCTGGGGATTCGAGGTGAGTAAAATGCTGAACCCTGGCTCACTGCATGTGGAAGGGCCTTTCCAGGAGGGACACACGCTTACCTCTGCCTTGCCCCACAAAAGGAGGGAGAGGGCCATGTGAAAGAAGCCCTGCAGGAGGTGGTGGTGGATGAAGATGCTGATGGGAGGAAGGTGATGCAGGGAACTGGTCTATGAGAGGTGCTTTTCCCTGCCTCTGGAGCTGTGGAGGCCACAGCTAGTGACCTGGATCCAGAGCGTGAAGATGACGACGTGGCACAAGAGTCTGTTAAGCAGCCTTTGAGGGACTGAGATGGTGTGCAAGGTGTCACAGGTGGCAGCTGGGTCAGAAGCCCTGATGTATTCCTGCTGTATGGAAGCTGGGATGGCCACTGGGTTGGTTGCCTTGGGAATTGCAAATTCTGGGATTTAAACTGGAAATCTAAGTGGAAATAAAGTGGAAATCGATCAGAAGCTTTTTAGAAATGCCTCTACATGCTAGGGTGGAGGAATCCCAGCTGGTCATCTGAAAGAACAGGCTTTGGCCTGTTTAGGGGCCTGGGTGCCAGAGTCCCTTGGGAAGCAGTCCTGGAGGAAAAGGAGTCTAGGTGGGCTGGGCATTCCTCAGCAAGGAAGGCTTAATGATGCAGGAGCAGCCGTCCCCCCGTGTTGGAAGGACAGGGCTGATGAGAGGCTGCCTGGCACAGTGCTCATCTGTATTCCTACAGCAGGATCTACTGCCAGTGTTTCCTCTCTGTTCCTTAGGGATAATTTGGAAGGAGATTGCATTTCTCTGAGCAAATAGAAGGAGTTTGTGCACCTCCTAGATTGGTGCGGTCTGGCTCAGACTGTAATCTGCTCGACATTGAGAAAAAGACCCATCCAACGTCACAAAAAGTAAACCATTCTGCTATCTGACCTTAGAGCAAAGTTATGCTGATAACCCTGCTTGATGGGATTTATGAAGGCTCATTATCAGTGGGTTTTCTTTCCAATTGGTTTGTTCCTTCTGAAGTTATCTCTGGCCAAACTTGCAGGCATCTCGTTGTTTTGTATGGCCTTGGAAATACAAATCCCTTGCTTTTAGGGAAGAACACCAAAAGGGAAAGGACCCACCTTCTTGGAACCCCTTCACCTCTTCCCTGTGTCACAGAAAGTCTGGGATTTAGTTATTTTTAATGGAATAATCAACTGGCAGATGCTGAACTGGTAGGGCTGAGCTTGTCGCATCTGGTGAGATCTTTCCAAAGCTCTGACGTGCGTCCTCCGGCAGTAACGTCATTGTAGAACAGGGCGGTCTAAATGCTGCAAAATAACTATGCAATTTGGGTTGTTTTCTTAACAAAATGTGAAATTAATTTTTTTTTCATAGCTTCAAAACCAACGGCAAACAAATGCAAAAGTAAATAGAAAGTAAAGGCTACAGCTTTTCTTTCCAGGCCCTCCTGAAGCGTTGGGTACCCAAAGCTGGTGGCCTCCAGAGGAGGCTTAAGCCTGGGACTGATCTGTGGGATATGAAGACACCAGCACCAGCAAGTGGTGCTGTGAGGGATGACTGAACTGAACAGTGAACACAGGGAGTAATCAGGCTGGGTTTATGCCCCCAACAGAGGCATCTATACGAAGAACACAGACAAACAGCTTAAATTTCCTCTACAGCCAGCAAAGAGAGGGAAGCTGCTTACAGGTGCTTTCTGTGCTGTGGTCAGGAGTGGTTGCCATCATCTTCTCGAGAGCAGGGATGAATTGTTGTACCCAGGCTTGTCCAGCATCATGCAGGGGGTCTGTGACAAGAGCATCTGTACTTCCTTGTATCTGACTGGGTGACCTGCGTGCTGCCCCTGGCTGCAGCTCAGCTGTCTCAGGGCCCATTTAGCTGACAGCAACAGTTCAAGCAGGGCTGTGTCCAGGAGGAACTGCAGGGATCTGAATTCCTGCATTTGTAGGAGACTGCTATGGAGTTCTCCTGCGACTGATGTGGGCTGAAGGTGCCTCAAAAGACAACACAGATGAAGCTTTTTGTCAATAAACACGCGTGTAGCATTGGCAATTGCTGGATCCAGTACTGTCTGCTTGCAGGCAGCCAGCTTGCGTTATCCTCTTGAAGAATGTAGTGAGCTACAGCTTTAAGTGGAGTCCTATGATTTTTGTGTAACAAATTATTTCACCCATAAGTGTAAAGCCAGCATTGCTTTAGGAATGGAAATAGGAATAGGAAACCTGCCTATTGGCCGTAAAATGAACTATATGGGTGTAATCCATCGAAATATAGATGGGGTTGGGGTTTCTTTTTGCTTGACATTTGAGAACAAGTCTTTAAACTACTTGTTTACAGTGAAACGTCTGGGGATGCCTCTGTGAAGGAGACTGAAATGTCTTAAAGATGTTCTTTGGCTGTTTGCTGTGGGAGAAAAGGGGATCTCTGACTGCAATGTGACCTTTCCACTCTGCATGTGGGAAATCTCCCCTCCGCAGCATGGTCCTGGTGCAAACTGCACAGCTGTTTTCCTAACCAGGGGACCCTGTTGTGGACTAATGGCCCAGGCATTGTTTTCTGTTGGAGCTTTCTGAAAAACAGGAAGCTGGGCTCCCCAGATGAAGGTACAGCGGCCCCTGTGTTCTGCTCCTGCTGCCTGAGTCGAGACCCAAACCAAAGGAGCAGAGAAGGCACAAAATGCTGTTTCGTCTCTCTTCTCCGCTTCCAAGTTTTAATGGAATGTGGGGATTGACTTTCCAAAACAGAGAGAATTGGTTGGGATTTTCTGCACCCGAAGTCTTGCTGATGATGTCTATGTGACAACGTTTTAAGAAACGGCATCCTTAATCGTTTTGAGACGTACAGCAATGATTTGTCAGCAGGTAAATGGGATTAGCTCTAGATGGTGGTTGTGGTTTACGTGAAGCTGAATGAACAAGACCTGCAAACTGGAAAGAGGAGAATTTCTTTCCCCTTTGCCATTCCAATTCCACAGGAATTCTTTCCTGTCTCCTATACATCCCCTGTACTCCACCTCTGCCTCTTGAAAGAGCAAAGGAAAGTGTTTAAACTTGATCCTCCTATATTTCTGTGCCTGATGTTAAAAGGAAACCAGCAGAGATTTCCAGATGCTTCATTTTCATCTGCCACAGAGCAGAGAGGGGTGAGCAGACACAATAAGTCCTTCCAGCTGCTGGTGTTGCTGTCGCAGGGGCAATTCCCATTTAACCAGTTCCTCCTCCCAGCCTGTGACTTTCCAAGAGGATGGCTAGCACTGAGGAGCGCAGGTGTTTTCTCAGCTGGTAGGTTTGCTGTAACGTGTGACTCTGGGGCTGTGATAGCTTGTATGCAGTGTATATCGCAAATACATTGCAAGAAATCGGGAGATAATATTAGAAATGCTCAGAGCTCTGACACTTGCTGTTTGTTTCACTGGGCCCAGCTTCCAGGAGAAGTGTTACCAAGCTTTATAGCAAACAGCTCTTTTACTGGAAGAAGTTGGATGCTGCCTCACTCAGTCTTGTGTGAGTGAGATAAAACCAGGGGGTTGTGAGCACAGCCAGATCTCACTATGGAATTCACTCTGCCTTCAAGGTTGTGATTCTTTCTTCCTATGCCAGAAATGGCAGCAGCAAAGCCATGGGGCAGCACTGATATTGCTGGTGCTTGGGAGTTTATCAAAGCAGTGGGAGATAGAGGTGGGTCTTTCCAGAGATGTGGGAGAGTGTTGTGTGACAGGAGAGGGTGAACCCAGCTTCTGCCATTGGAGAATGAACTGTGCTTTGAGATGCTGGGCACTTGGAAAGTGCCACATTGAGAGGTACTGGGCAAAGCACTCACTGCCTCCAGGGTGCTGCCCTGTTTCAGCACAGGAGATGGGACCTCCAGCTTCTAAGTGACCATTTGGGGATGTGTGCTAAGAAAAAACACTCTTTGCTTATGTGCTCCCCCTGGCAGATAGAACAGATTGTCTCAGAATGTTCTGTCTTGGTGGCAAATCCCTGACACCTCTGGTCAGGGTGGCAGCCTTCTACACACTAGTGGGGAAAGCCTGGTTTGCAGGAGGTGAAGTGGATGCTGTTTCCCTCTTTTTGTAGATGATATATCTACAAGTCAGCACTCAGGAATGCTGGTGACCTTGCTCTTGGCTCTTCACGAGGTGTAATCTTGCAGGCTGTCAGAATAACTAGCAGTTTCTCCTAAGCAAGGATCACAGCAGATCAGAGGAGGTTACTCAGCACAGTCACTCTGTAAGCTGGAGCTGAGCATGTCTCATCACAACAAGGCGCCCTGTGATTGAGTTCAGGGAAGGAGCGGGTGCTTCATGAAAGAGCAAACAGCAGAAAAGCTACAGTCACCAGGTAATCCTCTTGGGAATAAAATGTGGATCAAAACAGCCCTTGCTGCATATAATTAGTAGCTGATCCTGAGCACTTTTCTTGTTACTACTTCACTCCACCCTGTATTGCCACCTCAGGCCCAGGACGTTCAAATGCTTTGCCTGCCTATAAACGCTCCCTCCACCAGCCAGCCCAAGCAGAGGCATTGGATGCAGACCATCTGCACTTGTTAATGTACAGCTCAACATTTATCCTGAGGGACGTTTGATAAAGTGGGGAATAATTTGGCTTGGCTCAGGTTTGCCTGCCTTTGAGAACTGATAGTGTGAATCTGTTCTGAGATGCACAGTGTAAGCCTCCTAGGAAGTGCTTGTGCACATTTCCTTCCAAGTACCATGTCTCTAGTGCTCAGCCAGCAGACCTCAGCAGTGGGCATATAGCAAAAGGTGGGCTCCTCTGATTCTTGCAAACTTGTCTTGTAGCTCTTCAGACCAGGTGACGGTGCATTTTATAAACCGGGATGGAGAGCGACTCACGGCCACAGCCAAAGAAGGGCAGAGTTTGCTGGAAGTGGTGGTCAATCAAAACCTGGCCATTGACGGATTTGGTAAGTGTTGCACAAGTGTATGTGCTCCTAGGACTGATGTGTCTGCTGTGACCAGTGGGTACCTGGGAACAGCGCAGCTGTACACATGTCACTGTCACTGGTGAGACAGTGAAGCAAGCTTATCTCCCAGCAGCTGCTCACTGAGCTGGTGGTGTGATTTCCACGATGTCACCACTGGGATTCCAGCAGTGTCAATGCCTTTGGCTGATTCATAGAATCACAGAATGGTTTGGGTTGGAAAGGACCTTAAGATCATCCAGTTCCAACTCCCTGCCATGGACAGGGACACCTCACACTAAACCAGGGCACCCAAGGCTCTGTCCAACCTGGTCTTGAACACCGCCAGGGATGGAGCATTCACATCTTCCCTGGGCAACCCATTCCAGTGCCTCACCACCCTCACAGTAAAGAACTTCTTCCTTATATCCAATCTGAACTTCCCCTGTTTAAGTTTGAACCCGTTACCCCTTGTCCTGTCACTACAGTCCCTAATGAAGAGTCCCTCCCCAGCATCCCTATAGGCCCCTTCAGATACTGGAAGGCTGCTCTGAGGTCTCCAGGCTGAACAGCCCCAACTTTCTCAGCCTATAGATGTGAAAACTGATCGTGATCGTCACAGAGGAAAAGCAGGTGGAAACCTGCATCCATCCAAGGACTGCCTTTTCTGGGATCTCCTTTGACACGCTCCAGATCTGTTAAAGGACCTTTTCCCACGCTGTTTCTGAAGATCATCACTCATCAGCTAGTTTTGTACTGATTTGCTGTCATTCCCCCGTTTCTCCCCCAGGTGCATGTGAAGGGACATTAGCCTGCTCCACTTGTCACCTCATCTTTGAGAAGGACACCTTCCAAAAGCTGGATGCCATCTCGGATGAAGAGCTGGACATGCTGGACTTGGCGTATGGGCTCACAGAGACGTAAGCCTCCCTGCTGATCGCAGTACATTCCCAAGCCTCTGAGGCAGATTCCCAGCACCTGGCACCTCTTTCCAAGGGGTCAGGACTTATTCTGTATTAGTGTCGTGCCTCTAGAACTGCTTTCTCTAGGGGCATAAGACCTTTAACAGGAGCTTGAGTGAAAACCCAGCCTGGTCCAGACATCCCAATGTGGGTGGGGAATTTCTTCTTTCCCTATGGGAACAGATGAGCCTCACTTCATGTTTTCTTCTCAGATCTCGGCTTGGCTGCCAGGTGTGCGTTAAGAAGTCGATGGATGGTCTGACAGTGCGGGTCCCCATGGATGTATCAGACATGAGGAGGCAGCTGGAGGTTGGAAAGCAAAGCAAACAGTAACTGGAAACGGCTCCTGCACAACTTCCATCCTCATTTTAGGTGTGCCAGGGTACTTTGCTTTTGACTAACGCTGTTGCTTTTTGTGGCTGGCTTGCAGTGGACCGTAGAGGTCTGATTCAGTGTAAATACCCATTTGGCAAATCTCTCCTTTAAACAAAGCTTAATTCTAGTGCCTTTGGTACATGTTTTAAGTGTCCTGCTGAATACAACTGGACTAAAGCACAACGGCTCTACGTTTTCCCTGGGAGGGTGGCAGTGAACATCTGCGCTGTATGTGACTCACCCTCTCCTTTGAAATTTAAGGAATTCTGCAATTCTAAGTAACTGCTGGGAATTTTGCAAGGCTTGGCTCTTTAACTGTAGAGCAGAATTTTCCCAGTTTGGGAAGCTTAAGAAGAGGTAGCTGTTCCGAATGCAAGCCAGTGCGCCGATTGGCTTGATACAGGCAAAAGGAACTTTGTTAGGAAGAACATATTGATAACCATTTGAATGCTGACATTTCCTGTTAGAGGGAACCACTTCCAATAAATTCAAGATGTTAAATGAATTATGTGCCATGATCTGCTACTTTCTCCTAATATTGTGTTTTTCCATTGCTGTGTTACCACATATATCAAATAAAATTCTAATAATTGGACTTTTAGACCCATGTAGATGCACTTCTCTGGTAACATGAGCCTGGCTGGAACAATGTGAGTTTGATGGAAATTGAAGTATAATATCCTGCTGCCCCAGTTAAATGGACTGGATTTTTCCCTCATGTTTGAATGAATATGTCAAACTTGCCTTACAAATGTTGTAAAAGAGGGGGAGAGAAGGGTTTCAGATGTACACGTCCTTCTTAGATTTGGAATAAAAGCCAAAAACTCATGGTGCAAAGCGACTGGAAGGGACCTTTTAAAGGCCAGGATTATTACAAGTGCATTAATGGTTTTGTCTGGGGCCACCTTTAGGTCTGCCTCTTCCCTTTACCCACTGGGTTACTACGTTGGGTTTACAGCCTGGGATCCACATGGAAAAGAACATCACCTCCCAGCTCCGGTTTGTTTAGGTGCCAGCAGCAAGTGGTGAGTGGAGGCGACACGAGGTGGAGCTCTCGGAGCGCCCGCTTGCGCGCAAGAGGAGCAGAGCGGGGGGATGCTGAGCCTCCCTCCCTTCCTCCCTTCCTTCCTCCTTCCCTTCCTCCCTTCTTTCCTCCCTTCCTTCCTCTAGAAGCTCTTGATTGGCACTTGTTGTAAGCCAGCGCAAGGCCAAACCAACAAGGTAGCCCTCGGAAGCCTGTTTCTCGCAAACCTCCTCTCCTCCAGCTTGCCCCAGGTTTGTTATAATAAAGCAACGAGAATGGAAATGGATTAAAAGAAAGCAGTAAAGGCACCACCACCTTCAGTGCCACTTTGCGTCTGAGCCTGATGCTGCCACTCTCTTGCAAAGCAGAGGTGACATGGAGCTTTGCAGTCCTGCTCCTCAGCCCCTCCTGTGTGTGTTTGAAGCTGGGCACAGGATGCTGCTGAAAGATGTCAGTTCTCTACACGCAGGTGCATTGCCACATGGAATCGTCGAATCAGCTAGGTAGGAAAAGACCTTTAAGATCATCAAATCTTGCCTTTATCCCAGGACTGCCAAGATAAGATCCATCACTAAACCCTAGCACTGTGGGCCTCGCTTTGCATGCTGGTGGGATGGCAAGCTGCCTGCTTGAAAGAGCTGAGTGTTACGTTCCTCTTCAGAGTGTGGATGAGCTTTGAGGAAAAAGTTTCCAGGGCAAGCTGTCTGGATACGTAGGTAGCCAAAATAGCCCACACTACTCTTTGGCAAGGTTACCTGCCCTTCAAAGGTGCCATGGGGTAGCAGAAGGGAGTCTGTACCTGCAAACGACGGGGTAGAGTATGTCTTGGGAGACCGGCTTTCCTGACTCTGTTGGGACGACAGAAATAGGACTGAGACAGTGGAAACAAACTACAGCTGCCCTGGGCACTTCCATCGTGGTTTCCATCAGCCTGCAGCATAAGGGAACAAATCACACATGCCAAGCAGAAATGAGAAGAGGCTGAACTGAATGAGTCATTGTCTCTTCAAGGCAAATGAATTGGACTTGTCTGGCCTTGATCTGTACTGGGAGCAGGTCATGAAGGCTCCTCACTTCCCGGATGGCAAACTCACAACACGTCTTCCCGAGTGACTATCTAGCAGGGCACTGGGCAGGACATTCAGTATTTGAGAGACAACTTGAACTAAATCTCTGCTTTTGATCTGAAAAAGGGCAGAGAGAGAATGGATATCTATTTGTGTCTGAAGGCTGTATATTAAGGGCAAATTTGGCCTCTCTGGGGCAGAAAGCCAACTGTCTGTATTTGGTACTTCTTATTATGAGCAAACTGGGTGCTGTGGGACTGCTTGGTGCCTCCCAAACACACCGCTGCATCTCCGGGAGCGACACATCCCACTTGGAGTTTTGAGAAAGGGATTTAAGTGGTAGCATCACATGAGACACCTGCACTGGTGGGAGCACTGACAGCACATCTACGAGCTGCTGTGAGAGTGTGGAGTGAATCACAGCCCCGGGTGGCCTGGTGACCCACTGCTGGGTGTCTCCTGCCAGAGACTGACAACAAAGCAGGGGGCTCTTGCCAGAATTAAGTCAGATTTTTTTGGTGGTGGTGGTGGGTAATTTATACTTTTTATACTATTATACTATCGTTATACTATTTATACTTTTTATACTATTATTTATACTAAAATTGTGGCCTTGAGTTTCCTGGGGCTAAAAGCAGCAGTTTGGCATGATTGTTCAGCAGAAGCCAGGAGCTCCAGGACCTTTTTGTCTTTATGGCACAGTCCCAGGGGGCTGTGGCCAGGATTAGGGGGATTTGGAGGTGGGACTTTACATTAAGGCATTCACCTGTTCCTCGGTTACTGTATGGTGGCACAGCTCATAGGTATCCCAGCCTATCCCTAGGAAATCTATTACTGATTTGCTTTTGATGGCCTGGAAGAAAGTGTGGAACGTATCTGCTGACTTGGTGGGTGTAGGATTGGGTGCCAAAATGCGGGGAGCATCATTGCCTGGGATCGTGGAAAAGGAGTGCTGCAGAATTCCAACTCGGGCCTGGAGGCAGCAGGTAAGTGGGGTCTCCATGCCCTTGCAGAGGGGAAGTCTCCCTGTCTTGTGTAGCACCCTGCCTCTGCCGTGCATCACGTGCTCCAATGGGACCAGTGGTTCGTGCTACCTTTCCTGAGGAGTTTTGGTGGGTTTTGTTTTGCTTTAAATGAAGAAAATTTATTAATAGAGAGCGGGGTTAGAGCAGCTGCCCAGGGAAATGCGCCCTTATTAGGCAGCCCAGGATGAGGAGAGGAAAAAATGTGCCTTTTGCCCCGCCTCTCCCAGACTTTCTATAAACCGATCTCTTCAACTTGCTCATAATTCTTCTGGGTGACGCAAATCCTGAGCTCTTCCTCTGCATTTGCTCCAGGTCTTCCTCGTCTGAGCTGAGACCAGCGCAGCTCCTGAGTCAGTTTACAATCCATTAGCACGTTCAGAACACAGAATCATCTCTCTGCCAAGCGCAGGCACTTTTCTAATAGTCAATGCAGTTTCACCTCCCCAGAAAGACACAAATAAGAGTGGTGCCTGAGCCGACCTGCTGGCAGAAGGCTCAGCACGGCCAGGCTCTCGGATCTAGGGTCCGAAGCACGTGGCTCAACAGCACAGTTGGTGTTTTGCAAACGCCACCACTCAAGCGCAGAAAAGAGGGAAGTAAGAGCAAGGGAACAAGAGGCGATCGCTGCACCCCAATGACAAACAAACACGTGTGTCTTTTATTGGAATAGTTACAACTGTAGCTCTGGAAGACAAAGACTGTGAATGCCACGTCAGTGTTCATGTGTGCGGGGAATCACGGTGGGGGGGGTGTTGTATTACAACTATATACACCTTTCATCATACAAAGGTCACCAAGGTGGTTTGGGACAGAGAGTGCCGAATCTGACAGTTAAACACCCTGCATGGAGTTAATCAAACTATACACCTCGGAATGGTGGGCTCTGGGCTTCCCCCTCTCTCCCCTGTCCCAGCATTTGGCCACAGGCACTTGACAGATGAGCGGTGGCATCCGATACCTACTAGATCATTTCGCAGAGCTGGCTTCCCCCTCTGTGCAAGGACTGAACCACGGCAGGTGTCAAGCAACTCTAGATACAGCTATTTGCAGACACTCCGCAACTTGCAGGGGGCACTTACTCCGCAAAGGCGACCTTTCGATCGTTAGGATTCATGTATTTCTCTTGTCCTTCACCCATTCACTGTAAATTGAGTAAAAGGAGCAACTCTGAGAGAAACCACTTAAAAACTCTCACATAACTTTCAAATGAAATAGCCTGAACCTTTTAACCTCTGAGACTTTTCCCAACGTTTTCTTAATGCCTGTCAAACTAACGTGATGCTCTCAGCTTCTGTGTACCGCTCAGCTGGCAGCATCACAACCCTCTCAGCGAGTCCCATTATGACTGTGGAACTTCTGAGCACTGCTTTGAGTGGAATCACGGGGGTGCTCCAAGAGTCCACTGGCTGCATTTCTTTAGTAGTGCAGTACCAGAAGCCTGCTTAGCACATCCCTGCCTGGCACTTCTCCAAACTTAATTCTCCTGGAACAACTGAGCCATGTGCTAAGCTGAGTGGGAATTCAATGCTTCTCTGAGACAGCATCAGCGCTGTTGAAGCCTGGACCATCTCAGCTTATGGACTGACAACTTTCTGGCCAGATGAGGCTTTGCTTCAGCATCCACTCGACAGCATTCTTGACAACTTCCACAACTCCTCTGACCTCGTGCTAGAACCAAATACCGCTTAAGTCCCTCTCAGCATGACTAGGAATTTGATTAGTTGCCCCATCCATACTGCCTCTGGAAAGGGCTTTTTGACATGCTACCATCATTTACAGAAATATAATGTCACCTTTTACTAGGGGTAAAAGGCCCAACATTCCAGGTGTCCCAGAGGACACCAAAAAACACAAACGTCATAGCTCTGCCAAAATGACAGTGCTAAAATCCTTTACAGTAACTGTGGCTCTGTCAAATACTAGCTTTAGGGGAGGTTTGAGAGAATCAATGCAAAATGAATTGGGAAAGGAAAAGCAATCTTGGGGTTAAAATATTACATATGCCATCTGTCAGTGAAAGCTGGGCTTTGGGCTCCATCCATTTGGTGCCTCAAACAGTAACGGAGGCACACTGTGAGCTAGACCACCAGGGGCCAAATGATGAGCAGAGAGAAGCTGCAGTGATTTCTGGGATGGAGGTGAAGGGTCTTCCGTTGGGTGAGTGGTGATGAAAAGTGAATAGTGGAGGATTTTGTGCAAGCATAAGGATTTTTAACTAGTTCTGCTGGAGTATGAGCTGTCCCAGTTCTCCAGTCAGCCGCACGCATCAGCAGCTGACTGGAGAAAATAAAGCAGAGTTTCTCCTTTCCCACTTTACAAAGGAAGGGAGTCAGCCCCTGTACATGTCAGCTAATTCATGGACAGGGAGAGTCTGATGGCATTCAGCCCCCAAGACACCCAGCCAGTGATGCCTCTTCTGTAGAAAAAGGGCGTAAATCAAAAATCAAGAACACCCCCCCCCCAATCCCAGCTAAAATGAATG